TTGTTACTGAGGGACACAGAATTGTTACTGAGGGCCACAGAATTGTTACTTAGGGCCACAGAATTGTTACTCAGGGACACAGAATTGTTACTGAGGGCCACAGAACCGTTACTTAGGGCCACAGAATTGTTTACTCAGGGACAGACACAGAATTGTTACTGAGGGACACAGAATTGTTACTGAGGGCACAGAATTGTTACTCAGGGACACAGAATTGTTACTGAGGGCCACAGAATTGTTACTTAGGGCCACAGAATTGTTACTTAGGGACAGACACAGAATTGTTACTGAGGGGACACAGAATTGTTACTTAGGGCCACAGAACCGTTACTAGAGGGACACAGAATTGTTACAGGGCCACAGAATTGTTACTAGGGCCACAGAATTGTTACTCAGGGGACACAGAATTGTTACTGAGGGCCACAGAATTTTACTTAGGGCCACAGAAATTGTTACTCAGGGACACAGAATTGTTACTGAGGGCCACAGAACCGTTACTAGGGCCACAGAATTGTTACTCAGGGACACACAGAATTGTTACTGAGGGACACAGAATTGTTACTGAGGGCCACAGAATTGTTACAGGGCCACAGAATTGTTACTCAGGGACACAGAATTGTTACTCAGGGCCACAGAATTGTTACTCAGAGGGTTACACAGAATTGTTACTAGGGCCACAGAATTGTTACTGAGGGCCACAGAATTGTTACTTGAGGGACACAGAATTGTTACTCAGGGACACAGAATTGTTACTCAGGGGACACAGAATTGTTACTCAGGGGCCACAGAATTGTTACTCAGGGACACAGAATTGTTACTGAGGGCCACAGAATTGTTACTTAGGGCCACAGAATTGTTACTCAGGGACACAGAATTGTTACTGAGGGCCACAGAATTGTTACTTAGGGCCACAGAATTGTTACTCAGGGCCACACAGACACAGAATTGTTACTGAGGGCCACAGAACCGTTACTTAGGGCCACAGAATTGTTACTCAGGGACAGACACAGAATTGTTACTCAGGGACACAGAATTGTTACTGAGGGCCACAGAACCGTTACTTAGGGCCACAGAAATTGTTACTCAGGGACACAGAATTGTTACTGAGGGCCACAGAACCGTTACTTAGGGCCACAGAATTGTTACTCAGGGACAGACACAGAATTGTTACTCAGGGACACAGAATTGTTACTCAGGGACACAGAATCGTTGAATTAAAGAGTATGTCAGACAACATGCAGAGGAGTGGCAGAGGAGGCAATGTTTTAGGAGCGAGCAGACGTGGCAGCAGAGGAAGGGGTCGAGGCAGCACTATTCGCAGCCAGAGGCCAGTGCTCCCGGTGTCATCCAGCGGTCGTGTCTCCACCGACAACCCTGCCGTCATCGATTGGTTGGCTCGGTCGTCTTCCTCTTCCCAGGTCACCTCTGACACCTACAGCCAACGGTCGGTGGGTACGTCAGACACAACCGTTAGTTGGCATGGCCCGGGAGCAAGCCCACTGAAATCACGTGTCCTCTACCTGCCCCTGTCCTTTGCTGTTCCCTCACCAAGCGAAGTATCGCATGCTGTGGGCTCAGCCCCACTGTACAGTGAGGAAGAGCTAACAGAGGGCGGTCAGGAACGGGGGGAGACATCCGCCTTTTCAGCAGCCAGGCGAAGAAGTACTGGCGAGGAGAGTGGCTCGGTAGCCGGTCTAGAGACAGGTCTGTCTCCTGACCCAGACGCAGCCGAGGGGGCTAGTAGTGAGGCGGAGACCCTACTTGATGATGAGGAGGTTGATCGCACTTGGCAGCCTCGTCGTCGTCATCAGGCAATTTCTTCCGCATCATCAGGAGAAGAGGGTGCCAGCTTGGCAGCGAGCAAAACAGTCGGTGGGTTGCCCAGGAGGCAGCAGGGTCGCAGCAGTGTCAGTGGAGCCAAACGGCCACGGAGTAGAGAGCACCAGCTCCACTGCAGCCTACCACCACGGCCAGTAGTGGTGCCGGTGTGCACGGAGGAAGTAGCAGTCAGCCAGTGAGGAGTAGCGGGGGCAAAGTTTCCTACTCGGTGGTGTGGCAATTTTTTCGTCAAGCCGCCCGAGGAAGTAAACGTAGCCGTATGTCGACTATGTGGCCAGAAAGTCAAGCGTGGCCAGGGGGCCCATGTTGGGACTACAGCGTTGCGTCAGCAGCATATGCAGCGTCGCCATTGGTGGCCTGGGAAAACCGTGATAAAGATACGGCGGTTCTGCCTGCCCCAGCCCCCGCTCCCATCACCCGCTCCGTTACTTGCTCCGTCACCCGACGTCAATCGCCCTCTATCAGCCAGTCAAGGCTCCAACACCTCTGCTGAGGGGAGTTGTCGCTCGTTGGCATCTTCCGCTCGTTCAGATGCTCCTTCTCCTGCTACTCCTCTTCACGGATTCCGTCAGCAGTCTTTCTTGGAATCCGTTTCCAAGAGACAACAGTTTTTGCGAGCACGCACCCGACGGTGCAAAAGCTGAACGTCCTCCTGTCCAAGTTGCTGGTGCTGCAGTCCCTCCCTTTCCAAGTGGTGGACTCAGCACCTTTCCGAGAAATGATGGCTTGTGCCGCGCCGCGGTGGAGAGTGCCAAGCCGTCATTTCTTCGCCAAAAAGGCAGTGCCAGCCCTGCATTCACATGTAGAAGAGATGGTGGGCCAGTCTTTGAGCATGTCGGTCTCTGCCAAAGTGCACGGCAGCGCCGACGTGTGGAGCTGTAACTACGGTCAGGGACAGTACATGTCATTTACGGCCCACTGGGTGAACGTGGTGCCGGCACAGCCGCACCAGCAACTTGGACAGGTCACGACGCTTTTGCCTCCACGTTTGCACGTCCTTGGTCCAGCAAAGATGTCCGCCTCTACCACCTCTTCTTCCGCCGCCGTGTCCTCAGCCGCCACCCCCCCGTGCCAAGTCCCATTACCCGACCGGCATATCACATGTGCAGGGCGCAACGGTGTCACACGCTGTGCTGCACCTGGTATGCCTTGGCGAACGTAGTCACACAGGGGAGGAACTTCTGAGTGTAATGAACAGAGAAATCGACAGATGGCTGTCTCCGCGCAAACTGAAAATCGGAACCATGTTGACCGACAACGGAAAGAACATGGTGTCTGCTCTGCGTCAAGGAAGGGTTGTGTGCCATGCGCCATGCATGGCTCACGTGTTCAATCTGGTTTGTCAAGCGGTTCCTAAAATCCACCATCCCACTGCAAGACATCCTTAAAATGTCACGTAAACTTTGCATGCATTTCAGCCATTCCTACCTACACCGCAAAGCACACACCCTCCTTGAGCTGCAGCGGCAGAACGGAATTCCACAGCATCGCCTGATCTGCGACGTTGCAACAAGGTGGAATTCAACCCTACACATGTTGTTAGACCGCCTTTACGAACAGCGAAAGGCCATCACCGATTTCCTGATGTTACAAGCGGATAAAAGGTACTCCCCTGTGTAACTTCGATGTCAGCCATTGGCAGCTCATGCGTGACACCTGCCGCTTGCTCAGGCCCTTTGAGGAGGCCACGCTATTCGTGAGTCGGCAGGACTATGGGATGAACGACGTCATTCCTCTGTTGCACGTCCTGGAACAAATGCTGTTAACAATGGCTGGTCAGGGTGCGCGGTAGACGTGGCGCACAGATCTCAACGCCACATGACCCCTGTGGGGGCAGGACAGGAAGGAAGAAGAGGAGGAGGTAGAGGAGGACATTTGTGCTCAGGAATTATTGAGTGAAAATGGGGTGGTTTTTCCACTCAGCGGACAGGAGTGGAGGAGCAGGAGCATCTGGTAGAGGAGGAGGAGGAGGAGACAGAGGACCCAGACGCACCGTGGCAGTATGCTGTGGAGATGGAGGCAGGGAGTCCCTCGCATTCCTTGGCACAAATGGCCCATAGCATGCTCGGCTTTTGCTTGCGTAGCGACAGCCGAATAATAACCATCAGACAGAGGGATGACTTTTGGCTGTCCACCTTGTTGGACCCTCGCTACCGTTCCAAAATGGTGGCCTTTTTCACACCTGCTGAGAGGGAGGCCAAAATAACGTACTATAAAAACCACCTATGTAGTCAGTTGGTCTCTGCCTTTCTGCGCCAACGTCCATCCTCAGACACTGACACTGTGTGGGCCCTGTGCGCTCGCGTTCCGCTGCCATGGCAGCAGGGGAGGGGTGGGGTGGTAGGAGCAGTGGCAGCTCCACCAGCAGCGGCTGCCTCAGTCTGCAGTCGATGATGAGTAGCTTTCTTCACCAGCGCAGTGAGGAAACTACTAACCAACAGCAGCAGCAGCAGCATCAGCATCAGGTGGACCTGGAGCAGGAGCTCAAACAACAGGCTTGGGCCTACTTGGACAGCACCCTGCCAACCGAGGTAGACAATCCCCTTGACTACTGGGCAACGAAACTTGACCTTTGGCCCCAACTAGCTGAATTTGCCCTTGAAAGGCTGTCATGCCCGCCAGTAGCGTGGCATCGGAGCGCGTGTTTAGTGCGGCAGGAGGTATTGTAACTCCGCGGAGGACACGACTGTCCACCCAAAGTGTGGAGAGACTCACGTTTGTGAAAATGAATCAGGCGTGGATTAGTCTGGATTTCAAACCACCAGTTCCTGACACAACTGACTAAATCCGCCTCATGCCCCTGCCATGTGCCACTTTCAGGTCTCCTCACACTGCTGGTGTGTTCCATTTTTTGTCATAGGGTGCTGGCAGATTACGGGCCTCCCATAGCTCCCAGGCCATGGGTCCCCCTAATGCTGCCATGGGCCCCTAAATCTGCCATGCTGTGTCCCTCTTGTCATGGGTCCCTGTACGGCCTCCCATTGCTGCTGCCAGGTCCCAGCTCACACTGCCATGCCATGTGCCACTTTCAGGTCAGGTCTCCTCACACTGCTGGGTTGTGAATTTCCATTTTTTTGACATAGGGATGCTGGCCAGATTACGGGCCTCCCATAGCTGCTGCCAGGCCCCTAATCTGCCATAGGGGCCCCTATACCGCCTCCTCATGCTGCTGCCAGGTCCCCTAGTCTCTCATGGCCATGGGTCCCTGTACGGCCTCCCATTGCTGCTGCCTCCTCCATCGCCACACTCTGCCATGTGCCACTTTCAGGTCTCCTCACACACTGCTGGTGTGTGTTCTAATTTTTTGACATAGGGTGCTGGCAGATTACGGGCCTCCCATAGCTGCTGCCAGGCCCCTAATCTGCCATGGGCCCCTATACCGCCTCCTCATGCTGCTGTCCCCAGGTACGGCTACTCCCAGTCTCCTCACATGCATGTGCCACTTTCAGGTCTCCTCACACTGCTGGTGTGTTCCCAATTTTTTGACATAGGGTGCTGGCAGATTACGGGCCTCCCATAGCTGCTGCCAGGCCCCTAATCTGCCATGGGCCCCCTGTAACCACCGCCTCCTCATGCTGCTGCCAGGTCCACAGTCTCTCTCTCATGCCATGGGCCTCCCATTGCAGCTGTCTCCATCGCCACACTGCTGCCATGTGCCACTTTCAGGTCTCCTCACACTGCTGGTGTGGTTCCATTTTTTGACATAGGGTGCTGGCAGATTACGGGCCTCCCATAGCTGCTGCCCAGGTCCCCTAATCTGCCATTCTGTCATTGGTCCTCATGGGTTCCCCTGTACATCGATGCCTCCCATATGCTGCTGTCTCCATCTGCCACAACACTCTGGCCCATGTGCCACTTTCAGGTCTCCTCACACTCTGCTGGTGTGTTCCATTTTTTGTCATAGGGTGCTGGCAGATTACAGGCCTCCCATAGCTTGCTGCCAGGCCCCTAATCTGCCATGGGCCCACTATACCCGCCTCCTCAGCGATGCTGCTCGCCAAGCCCACAGTGACAAATTGGGTCCCCCTGTACGACGCCTCATTGCTCACTCTGCCATGTGCCACTTTCAGGTCTCCTCACACTGCTGCGTTGTTTTCATTTTGACATAGGTTGCTGGCAGATTACAGGCCTCTCCCATAGCTGCTTGCCTAGGCCCCTAATCTGCCCATGGGCCCCCAACCGCCTCACAGCATGCTGCTGCCAGTCCAAGTGATCCTCTCATGGGTCCCTGTACCGCACAACCTCCCATTGCTGCCTCCCACTGCTGCCATGTGCCACTTTCAGGTTTCTCCTCACACTGCTGCGTGTTTCAATTCCATTTTGTCATAGGGTGCTGGCAGATTACGGGCCTCCCATAGCCTGCTAAGCCAGCCCCTAATCTGCCATGAGGCCCCCGTGAGCCTGTCCCTGCTGCTATACGAAGGGTCAACAGTCCTCATGGGTCCCTGTACATGCTCACAAGCCATATCTAATAGGCATAGGAAAAATGTATATCGCTCCTCAGCCGCCCCTGCCATGTGCCACTTTCAGGTCTCCTCACACTCCCGTAGTGTTTCCATTTTTTTGACATAGTGCTGGCAGATTACAGGCCTCCCATAGCTGCTGCCAGGCCCCTAATCTGCCATGGGCCCCGTAACCGCCTCCTCATGCTGCTGCCTGTCACACTGCAGCTATGGGTCCCCTGTTAAATGTGGCCTAGTCTACCATTGCCGGCTGTCTCCATTGCGAAATCGCCACACTGGCTTCCATGTGCCACTTTCAGGTCTCCTCACACTCACTGCTTGGTGTGTTCCATTTTTTGTCATAGGCTGTGCTGGCAGATACGGGCCTCCCATAGTGCTGCACATGCCAGGCCCCTAATCTGCCATGGGCCCCCGTACTTCCTGGTCACGGCTGCCTGCTGGGTCCACATTGTGCACATGGACCCTGTTACCCCACCTCCCATTGCTCCCAACTCTGCCCATGTGCCACTTTCAGGTCTCCTCACACTGCTGGTAGTGTTCCATTTTGACATAGGTTGCTGCGGCAGATTACAGCCTCCCATAGCTGCTGCTACAGGACCCCAAATCTGACCATAGGGCCCCCGTACCCGCCAGGTCACGCTGCTGCCAGGGTCCACAGTTGACATGCTTGTGGGTCCCTGTACCCAGTGCCACCCGCCCCATTGCTCCCACTCTGCCATGGTGCCACTGTTTGAAGGTCTCCTCACACTCATGCTGCTGGTTTTTTCCATTTATGCTCATAGGTGTGCTGGCAGATAACATTACAGGCCTCCCACAGGTGCTCAAGCCAGGCCCACAAATCTGCCATAGGGTCCCCAAAAGCGGATACCACGCGCGCCTTGGTACACTTGCTGCTGCTAGGGTGCACCCACAGTGTCATGACTGCGCTTCCCTGTACGGCCTCCCTTTGCTCCCACTCAAGCCATGTGCCAACTTTCTTTAGGTCTCCTCACACTCCTGCGGTTATTCCATTTTGTCATAGGTTTGCTGGCAGGATTTACAGGCCTCCCATTAATGTGCTGCCAGGCCCCCAAATCTGCCATGGGCGCCCCCGTACCCCGCCTGGTCACTAGAAATGCTGCTGCCCTGGGTCCCACAGTGTGACCTGGGTCCCTGTACCACCCCTCCCATTGCAAACTTCCACACTCTGCCATGTGCCACTTTGTCAGGTCTCCTCACACTCCTGCGGTTTTCCATTTTTTTGTCATAAGGGTTGCATAGGCAGATTAACGGGCCTCACCATTGCTAGCTCGCCAGGACCCCGTAAATTCTGCCACTCTGGCCCCAGTACCAATGACCCCTGTCCAAAACCGCCTCCGTCATCAGGCTGCAGCCAGGTCCGATAATGTCTCACATGGGGTGCCTGTACCAGCCTCCCATTGTCTTCTGTCTCCATCGCCACTGCTATGCCAGTCCCACTTTCAGAGGTCTCCCCCTCACACTGCTGGTGAGGTTTACCATATTTTGCGCTCATAAGTTTGCGTGGCAGGATTACAACAGGCCTCACCATTAGCTAGGCTGGTCCGAGCGCCTCGTAATCTGCCATGGTGCCCCCGGTAACCGCCTCACTCATTTGCCTGCTAGCCAACTCAGGTACACGAACGAGTGAGTCTCATAGGTCCTCTGTATCGGCCTATCTCATTGCTGCTTCCTTCCATCGCCACACTCTGCCATCGTTGCCACGTATTCAGGATCCACCTCACACATCCGTGCTGTGTGTTTCCAAAGTTGTCCATAGGTGTGCTGGCAAGATTAACGGGCCATTTACTCCCCAATTGCCGCTCTGCTGCCAGGCCGTAAATCTGTCATAGTGGCCCCTGTACAGCTACTGCCTGGCAAACAGGCTGCTGCTCGCAAAGGTCCCACAGTGTTAGACTGCATTGGTCCCTGTACCGGCCTGCCCATAGCTGCAGTGTGTCTCCATCGCCGCCCTCTTGCCATGTAGCCGACTTTATTTCAGGTCTCCTCACACTGCTGCGTGTAGATCCATTTTTTGTCATAGAGTGTTGCGGCAGATTAACATGCCTTAACTCCATAGTTGCTAGCTTGGCCTAGGCGCCCCGTAAATCTCTCTCCCCATTGGGGCCCCCAGTACCGCCCAATTACCGCCTTCCCTCCCATGCTGCTTGGGTCCACCAGGTCCTAGAGGTCTCTCATGGTGTCCCCTATAAATCCGCCTCGCCATTGCCTTAAAGTCTGAGTCTCCACGTCCACAGCACTGCCATGTGCCACTTTGTGGTCCACCTCACACTGCGCTTGCGTGTATTCCATTTTGTCAAAGGTTGCTGGCAAGATTACAGGCCTCCCAAGTTGCTGCCAGGCCCCAAATCTGCATGGGCCCACTGTAAAACCGCATGGTCAGCAGCTTGCCAAGGTCCTCAGTGTGACCTGGGTCCCGTACGTCCTCCCATTGCTCCACTACTGCCATGTGCCCCACTTTCAGGTCTCCTCACACATCCTCGGTTTTCCATTTTGTCATAGGTTGCTGGCAGATTAACAGGCCTCCCATAGGGTGCCTGCCAATCCCAAATCTGCCATGGGCCCCCTTACCGCATGTCACAGCTGCCTGGCTACGGGATCCACAGTTGTGACTGGTCCCAGTACCGCCATCCCAATGCACCCACACTGCCATGTGCCAATTTCAGGTCTCCTCATAACACTCCTGCGGTTTTCATTTTGGTCATAGTAGCTGGCAAATTACAGGCCTCCACATAGGTGCTGCCCGGGGGTAAGGCCCCAAATCTGCCCATGGGCCCCCGTACCGCCTGGTCACGCTGCTTGCTGGGTCCACCAGTGGACAGGTTCCCTGTACCGCCTCCCATAGCTCCCACTCTGCCATGTCCACTTTCAGGTCTCCTCACACTCCTCGGGTTTCCATTTTGTAATAAGGTTGCTGGCAGCTTACAGGACCTCCTATAGCTGCTGAAGGCCCAAATTCTGCACTGGGCCCGCGACGCCCTGTCACGCTGATCGCTGGGTCCACAGTGTGTCCTGGGTCCCTGTACCGTCATTGCTACCATGGTGCTTGTTAGTGTTGACTGCCTGTGCAGTTTGAGGTCTTCCCTTGGGTTTTCATTTTGTTTAGGTTGTGTTGCAGGATACAGGTCAAGGTGTTTTTTTTTTTTTATGCAGGCAAATCTGCATGCGGCCCCGTTACCGCCTGGTCACGCTGTGCTGGGTTACAGTGTGCATGGGTCCCTGTCTCTTTTGCTGCATTGCATGTTGCCACTTTTAGGTACTCACACTCAGCGGATTTTCCTAATGTATTGTTGCTGGCAGATTACAGGCCTCCCATAGGTGCTGAGGCCCCAATCTTGCATGGGCGTACGCTGGACGTGTGCTGGGTACAGTGTGACATGGGTCCTGTACGCTCCATTGTCCCAATCTGCATGTGCAACTTTCAGGTTTCTACACTCTGCGTGTTTTCATTTTTGTCATAGGTTGATGGAGCTTAACAGGCTCCTTACGGTTGCCAGGCCCCAAATCTGCATGGTTGGCCCGTACGCTGGTCACGCTGTGCAGGGTCACAGTGTGTCATGGGTCCCTGTACCGCTTCCCATTGCTCACCTTGCCATGTTCGACTTTAGGTCTCCCACACTCCTCCTGGTTTCCATTTTGTCATAGGGTTGTCTGACAATATGGCCTCATTGCTGCTGCTCACGCCACACTGTGGCTCAGACTCCATGGTTTAGGCCCCATTGGATGGGCAAATGAGTGAACGTGTGCGGTGATTTTAGGATCGAGGCATCTCTGCATGTCACACTGTCTGACAGTTTATTTCTTCTCAGAGCACTCATAGGGCATTTAAATTAAGGTACTGTGTCTCTGCACTATATTAACGCTCTCTTGACGGCTAGAATCACCCTTTTTAAGTTAAAATTTCACAGCGAATATATTTCGACTCGAATCGAATATTTTCCACGAATCCGCTCGGAATCAGTCGAATCGCATTTTTGAATACTTCGCGATCATACTCTAATTATATATATATATTATATATATATTTTTACTGTATATATATCTGTACTTTAAATTGATAATTAACTTTCCTTTTAATCTTTACTACTATTTGTTTCTAAATTAGTCTCATGATGAGTTTGTAGTCTCTTTTTTCTGATGATTTATTTTTAGGAATTTTTAAAATCTTGAGTTTTTTAGCTTTTTATGTTGAATCACACTATGTTTGTCCAAAAAGGGATTG